GTTTGAGATTGTAACCGGTCAACGTTGCAAATTCGATCCCATGCAGGACTGGAAGGATGCAGGCGACCCAACGACTTCGCCGAGACGAGACACTCTACCAACTACGAGCAACGTATGGCTCGGCCATATCATCGAAAAGTGCTGGACTCAAGACTTCAGTTCTGCAAATGACCTCGCAGCAGAGCTGGAACAGGTCATTGTCCGTGAAGACTGAGCGCTAAAGCTAATGAGGGAACGGAACAAGGTCCGGTGCCTAGGCAGGCCACACGAACGCTTCGTCCGCTCCAATCGACCAACCCCAAACCAACTTCAGAATGTATTGGGTGACAGGGATAGGCTAGGATGGGTCTCCCAGGCCAAGACAGGCTTAATGTAACAGCTTGGTCATTTGATGACTGTCATGCAGTCCAGGAGCGCCCGACTCGGGGCCTAATGAAGATACTGTGCGGGGGCAACGTTGAAAAAAAGTTGATCCTATGATTCTATCCTTTATCTCAAGATCTGCTCTGGCGCAGCCGCGCAAACGACAATATCTCTCTATATCCACCCGCACACTCAGTATATCCAGCGACATTGTCCCATTCGCGCATATTTATAGCCAGCCATACACTATTCATTATGTCCAACCAGAACTACTGTGGTTGCAAGAATATTCATCCAGCGCCGAGAGAATTCAAATTTTGCGCCAGAAACCTGAATAGCCATCTTCCGTGCTATCATTACGAGCCTCCTACTCAGCGCTTCTATTCCTGTGGCCGACAAAATGTGACCCATGTCATCGAGCAAGTCCATCCAGCCTCATCCAGAGTCCGGCACCGAGACTGTCCCAACCATCGGTCAGAAGACTTCTCGTTTTCTAATGGGAAGCAAATTACAAAGCCGAAGACTGGTGGCAGGGACCAGGAGGAGCGGGACCAGGCAGCACTCTGGTCAAGTAAAGGGTTGGAGGCACCAGAGGTTTTCAGTATGGAGGATAGGGCGGCCAAGAGCCATGTTGCCAGGCTGGTTCTGGAGGGGCTGGCCGAAATACGAAATTTCCAAACTTGGACTTCCGGTTCATGAGACTGTTTAGGAGGCGCCGCGACAGAGTCTGATTACTTTATCTATGATCACAATTCACAGGATGCAATGGAGGTCTGCCAGTGCTTGTAGCATTTAATATGGTCACTTTTAGTCTTCGCCAGTCGCCAAAGGGAAACCTTAGCTATCCTTAACTCTTCCTAGCTTGCCGCTTACATGACGCCATTCCTCCTGTGCAGATCCTTTCCCCGGAGCCATACCTCTTCCTGAACAGTTCTATCATATTGCTATCGTTGCTCTATCCACCGATTAAGGCTGCCTGGTTATTCCCAACTACCTAGTTTTGACTTCCTGCAAAACCCAGCTCTAAGTTTTCGCACCCATGTCCGTAGAGTATTCTCCCTGCCCCGGGGCAGCGTCTAACGAGGTGGATCAGGAGGATTATCGCGGCGGACAAGGTGGAGGAAGGCACATTGCCAGAACGCGACGGGTACAGAGGCTTAAAGGCTTTCAGTATGCTGAGCGTGGTATTGACCGTGAGTACGGGTAGTCTGGATAGGAGGAGGGGATGTTACGTTCCTGAGCCTTGATTGAGGAAAAATGTTCTTTGATCTGGTCTAGCCGAACAGTAGCGTTTGCTCATCGTAGCATGTGCATTTTGTGCGTGAGGTAGTCGACGTGACCACCACCGAGTGCCGGAGGCCAAAAATAATACATGTGTGGCAGCCTTACAGCACTGCAGGCCTTACTAGATTTAAGCTGCGGCCTTGGCGCGCGTCATTCATGGATCATTTTTGTTGCGCAGTTTGAAGGATCGAAAAATAATTCCTTTGCAACAGATGGGCTGCTGGTCGGACGACCACATCGTGTAACCGCTGTTGCCAGTCCAGCTACTATGGCCGACGATGACGATCCTGTCATTGCCTCCTACGATGTTTGTTTGACAAGCAGCTTCTCGGCAGCCGCCAGCGATTCCTCCAAGTTGTACCTCCTCCAGTATCCCTCCCACCGCTCGTACAAATATCCTTACAATGCCTCAGTGGGACAGACTCCAACTGCCCTTCGTCTTAAACCAGATGCTGGATTCATAGAAGTTGATGTCCCCATGAATAAAGACGAATACTACAATGAAACTGCTGGGGAGAGATTTGGGAAAGCCATGGCCGAGAGCCGCACGATCAGTGTTGGAGGTTCGTTTGGTTTGGCTGGTGGGTTTGGGGCTGGCACAACACAAGCCAGACTGAAGGATATTCCTGTACATGATCAACCTACCGTTCCTGCGCCGTTGCTTGAGACCCAGACACTGGGTGGCAAGATACCGAACCAGAGCACCCGTGATCCGATTTACCTTGTTGGGTCCCTCCACCAAAACCAAATCCACCTCACCTACTTGGATGCTGTTGTGCAAATGCGCCCTCAGCTTCATCACATTGATGCTGAAGATGAGACCAACCAGAAGCGATTTGCAGGTGGCAATAATGCTGGTTCATCCCGCCAAAAACCCGGCTTAGAACCACCGGCGCCCAAGGTAGAGTCGAAAGCCATCGAAATCAAGATCAGAGACACCAAGGATGAGACCAAGGATCGTACAACGAATGACAACGCGAAGCAACTGCGCGATATCCAAATGGATCAGTGGCAGAAATATGAATGGGTGGACGAGGACGAGCCTAGTGCTAAGGTCTTATTCGACTCGCGGATGCGTCTTGTGTCGGATCCACGGCACACTCCTAAGTTACAAAGCTGTATCGGCAACGGCGACTGGTTGGACAGGATGAGTGCGCCCAGAGAAGATGGCAAGAAGGGATTGTTGGCCAAGTTGCGCGGGCGAGAACGAGAGCGAGCGCGAAGGAAGAAGGCCGAGGAAGAGAAGCGACAACGTCAGAAGGAGGCGAGCGGGGCAGAGTCAGCCAGCCATGGGGCGCTCATAGGCATGAGCGACGACAGCGACTTGAGCAGCGCAGAGGTTACAGATGACGACATTCCAGAAGAAGATGTGGCTGGAGTAAAGGACGTGGTGGATGAGGTTCGGATCAAACAAGAGCCCGCTGCACCTTTCCCACAGTCTAGGAGGAACCTAATTCCATCGACTACAAAACCTGGTTCAAGCAATCCTCCAAAGAAAAGAGGACGACCGAGGAAAAACCCACCTACTGATTCGATACCCCTTGGAGACTAAGTCCAGGAACTCATCTGCTCATCCCATCCACCACGAGCGGCTTGCTGGTAGTTGGTAAGGGAGGTGTTTGCGGTCCCTTCTCACGCTCTCGAGAAGAACGATGCTAAGATTTGCGAGGCAATGACGATACCCCTTGAGATGATTATCCAGGCTGAGGTTGGGTCCCAGTCCCTGCCTTGATGATCATTTGAAAAATCTTCAGATCCTTCTTTGCGTCCTTCCCCGTGGTCTTCACTTCCTTTCCGTGGGCAACCATCTGGTACAGTTCCTTCATTTCCAAGGTATAAGGATCTTCGTAAGTCCGCTTGATGGTCGACTCTCTGTATACCCCGTCGACATTTTCACACACCACCATGCTTACGGGCAAACCCTTGATATAAGGGGTGTCATATTTAACCCGGACGGACTTGGTCATGCTGTACACCTCAATGTGTGCATCAAACCGAGGAACGTTGTCGATACCAGATTCATATGTCACCGAAAAGGTGGGGTATTCCAGCATTGCACTGAGAATGTCAGTGAACTACTGCTCGACGCAAAATGTGTTCGGCTGTGTTAGGGAAGCAGGCATACCTCCAGAATGGAAGATTGATGGATGCGCCAATGACACGTTCTGGCATTCCGAGGGCTTCTCTCATTGCTGATAAGTCATGGGAGCCCAAGCCACCTAGCAGTCGCCACATCCTCGTCGACTCTGGATTGACGGGTATCCCACATTCGACCGACAATGCTTGATGTACTATTTCTGACGCCCTATCATTTTTGTCTTGCACGACTTCAGGTGTGAAGTCTGTGAACACCTTAGGGAATGTGCCTGATTGCGCAACAAAGTGGCTGTTTGGACCGATGATATCTGTTTAAAGGTGCTGCCATTCAGCGTTTATGCTCGTAATGACTTGAGACAAGAGCATTATGTACCTCTGACTCGAGCGTACAGAATCTTATCCATCCCACCAATTTCTTTTGTCATGTCTAGAAAGGCTGCAGCATATCGACGCATGTAGCCCACCATTACTTTACCTTTGGATCTTTCCTCCGCCTCGATAATAGTGTCAGCATCCCTCAAGCACAGTGCCATCGGTTTCTCGACAAACACATCCTTGTCATGCCTTAACCCTTCTATCACGTGCATAGCATGATACTCATCCGAGCTCGCGATGAAGACAAGGTCAACATCTGGGGAAGCGCAAAGCTCGACCGGGTCTTGTGTGGTTTTGGGAATGTGGTTGATGACTTTTTGAGCATTGTGCCTGAGAGATTCTGCTGACACGTCGCACAGGTACGTGATGGTAAAGAAGTCGGAGAGGAAACCCAGTGTTGAGATGTGTGCCACCTGTGTTATCTCGCCGCAGCCTATGATTCCCACCTTGACGAGCTTGTTGGTGGCCATATTGACAATAGATTGTGGGAGAGTACGAGGTAGACTGACTACTTCGACCGTTGGTATTCAATAGAGTGTCAGGCTGGATGGACCCTGAGATCCCTTTTTCCTTGATCACCATCCAGGTGGGGCTGAGACTCCAGTACTATTGGCTGGCTGAAATCAGGCACGTGAGCCGGGCCCCACCGGCAGAGCTCCCTCCAATCCTCGCAGGTGCAGCTGCTCCTGAAGCCAAAATGATTTTTTGCCATGCGCTCCCAAGTCACTCCATCTTCTGTCTGTTAACGAGGTTGTACCATCACCGCAATTGTGTTTCTTTCTCATCTATCTAGTGTAGCGGAGGGCTTCTGTGATGATAGATTTGTCTGAAAATTCTATCATTGCAGCTTCTAGCCACGGTCTTGCATCTGGGTTTGCGCAATGCTGCGCACGCGAGCTGCGGCCAATTCCAAGTATGCCCTTCAGTATGTCCAACAGGCGGCAGAAAGGATACAGCTCCCGTGGCTGTGTCCCGCCCTCGCTCAGACCTATACTGCCAGACAGCGGCACAGATCAATAACCACACGTCCTACGGTGTCGCGGTCAAAAACCTTGCCAGCACCCATCACCCAATCGAGGCATCTCGCCTCCCCAGCGTCCGCACACGAGAACTTTGACCGCGGCGATGATTATATCCCTTTTACCTACGGCAATCGAGAATATCCCACATCTCGAAACCCACAGCGAAACTCCAGAAGTGACCTGTCGCCTTTTGACCTCTCTCAAATATTGATGCTCGATGCCGCCGATCTTGTCGAAGACTATCCCGAGAATCATGCGGGCAACAACAAGCTGCGAAATATTGACGAAATCGAAGCCACCCTAGACGCATGTCTGCAAGTCCACCGATGGGACCGGGCATTCACACTCCTGTCGCAGTTGAGCCTCTTCTGTCAAAACAATCCCTCTCGGTTGCGAAACTCCTTCAATCGCGTTCTTGCAGCCATGGTGGACGATGTCATATGGAGTCGCACTGCCGACCATGAAAAACGAATAAATGAATGGATCGAGGTGCACATGAGAAAAGCGGACCTCGAACCAGACGCTCATACTTTTGCGCTGAAATTGAAGGTGGCCCTGGAAACCCTGGTCGGGTCCAAGAGGGACCGAACAGTGCGTCGCTATTGGGAAATGACAAAAAGATATCAATTGGAGAGCAAAGTTCTGAGTCTGCGAGATGTTCTGGATGATAGAGATCTAGGGAGACTCTCTGAAATCTGCACAATCGAAGTCTCGACTCGTCTACCTGAACAGGTTACCGACATTGCGCCATTGGATTCCGTGCAGGTTGGATCTGTGGGAAAGGAACAAGTCCATGTTCGGGAAACAGAACAAAAAGGGCTGGGCTTGTCGTCGCTCAAACGCTCGCTGTCTCTTTTCACCGAACCGACAGAGACCACGGTCGAAGCAAGGTCAGCAGAAGAAGATCCCCTTACACAGAGACAACGACGGTTGGAGAGAGACGCGATTCAATCCGCGCTCGATCGTTGGAAGGCCGAATTCCAGAAAAGAGCTAGCATAGGCATTCTGCCGGCGGATCTTGCCCATGGCGAAATTGGAGCTTTGCTCTGGCAGTGGCATGAGATCATGGCCGAAAAGATTAAACAAGAGATCAAACTTGCTAGGGAAGAGGATGACCTGCCCGGCCCAAAGTCAGCACAACAGAAACTCCGCGCAGAATGTTCTCCATTTCTTGAGCTGCTTCCCCCAGAGCATGTGGCGGCTGTCACCTCCATCGCCCTGATGCAGATCATGAGCAAAGTCGGCGCATCAAAGTCGGTCAAGCTGGTCCGGCTGGTCACGTCCCTTGGACAGACGCTCGAAAATGAATACAATGCGACGAATATCAATCGAGAAAGAAATGCCGTGCGCAAGGCGAAGAGACAAGGAATTATCGAGTCCCCGTTCGAACATGATGTAACGCTCTCCTCGCACCTACACAGACGTTCGTCACACCACGCAGCTCGACCTTTTGTGTACAACAAAGAATGGACCAAGGCAATACACGGGAAGGTTGGGGCTGTACTTTGTGAGCTTATGTTTGAGACAGCCAAGATCACGATCAAAAGAAAGGACCAAAACACTGGCGCTACGCTATCGATGCCTCAGCCAGTCTTCTTGCACTCTACCGCATATCAGAATGGCCGGAAGGTGGGAATGGTTTCCTTGCACGAAGACTTTGTCAGGCTCCTTGTCAGCGAACCCGCCGAACATCTGATTGCCAAGCAACTGCCCATGGTGTGCCCGCCAAAGCCCTGGAAAGGCTTCTTTGACGGGGGCTTTCTAGAGTCCAAGCAGCCTTTTCTGAGGATCAAACAGAATGAAACTGCGCAAAAGGACTACGGCATCACTGCTGCAAGTCGAGGTGATCTAGACCAGCTTTTTGCGGGTGTTGACGTCCTTGGCAAGACGGGCTGGCGAATCAACAAGGATGTGTTCTCGGTCATGCTCGAGGCTTGGAATAGCGGCGAAGAGGTCGCCAACCTCCCACCTCTGAACAAAGTTTTCCCTGAGATCGAACGGCCTGGTGAGAATGCCACGCAGAAAGAACGATGGGAATGGTTCTCTAAGATGCGCGCAATGGACAACGAGAGAACAGGCATCCACTCTAACCGGTGTTTCCAAAATTTCCAGATGGAGATCGCAAAGGCTTACCTCCACGAGACGTTCTATCTGCCACACAATATTGATTTCCGTGGTCGCGCGTATCCCATCCCACCATATCTCAACCAAATGGGCGCCGATAATTGTCGAGGGCTCTTGTTGTTCGATAAAGGCCGTGAGCTGGGTCCTGACGGACTGCGTTGGCTCAAGATCCATCTCGCCAATGTTTACGGCTACGACAAGGCTAGCCTGTCTGATCGGGCTCAGTTTCCCATGGACCACCTCGACGACATTTATGACTCGGTTAAAAATCCTCTCAGCGGAAGACGTTGGTGGCTGACCGCAGAGGATCCGTGGCAATGCCTGGCCACTTGTTTCGAATTGACCAGTGCTCTCGGAAGCCTCGATCCCACAAAGTTCGTCTCGAGGCTACCGATTCACCAGGATGGCTCGTGCAATGGACTGCAACACTACGCTGCCTTGGGTGGAGATCTCGCTGGAGCCCGGCAAGTTAATTTGGAACCAGGTGACAAGCCTGCCGATGTGTACAGCGGCGTGTGCGAGCTGGTCAAGGCCGAGATCAAGGAAGACGCTGCCAAAGGTGACTCACTGGCAAAATTGCTTGACGGCAAAGTTACACGAAAAGTGGTCAAGCAGACAGTCATGACCAATGTTTACGGAGTCACCTTCCTTGGTGCGATTCGACAGGTGCGAAAACAGGTTGAAGTCCTCATCCCCGAAGTCGAAGCTGCTGGGCTTTCAGGCAAAGCATCAACGTATATTGCAAGAAAAATCTTTAGGGGACTTGGTGCACTGTTCACTGGAGCCCACGAAATCCAGTACTGGTTGGGTGATTGCGCCAACCGTATCAGCTCATCGATATCGCCGGCTCAGCAAGAAAAAATTTATGAAAAAGCAGCCTCTGGCATCCCAAAGACCAAAGAGCGATCAGGCCGAAGTAAAGCCAAGGGCAAAGAAGTATTGGAATCTGCCGCGTTCCGATCTCCCGTCATCTGGACCACGCCGCTCAAGCTGCCGGTGGTGCAGCCGTATCGCATCAACAAGGGATTGACTATCCAGACAAATCTTCAGAGTATCACACTGGCTCAACCGAGCGTAGCAGACTCTGTTAACAAGAGAAAGCAACTCCAGGCGTTCCCTCCAAACTTCATCCACTCCCTTGACGCCACGCATATGATACTCTCGGCTTTAAAGGCCAACGAACTTGGTCTCAGCTTTTCTGCAGTACACGACAGTTTTTGGACCCACGCCGCCGACGTCAACTCTCTTAGCGAACTTTTGCGAGATGCTTTCATTCGAATGCATAGCGACGACATCATTGGGCGGCTTGCGGCTGAATTCAACAAGCGATACGATGGTCACTACTATTTAGCGCAAATCAATAAGTCCAATGTGCTTGGCAAGGCCATCACCGAGTACCGCAAGCAAATGGTTGCCGAGGGCGTCTTCCCTGCAGGCAATGGCTCGAAGAGCATCCAGCAAAGACGACATGCCGAGTTATTGCGAGAAATCCGAAAGAAGAAATTGATGGCCAGTGAGGATCCCAAAGAACAGGAAGAAGGTCAAATGATGGTGACCGCAGCGAGTCTATATGAACAATATGATGGAGACAAGTATCTGTTTCATCGGGATTCTTTGGGAGAGACAGCCATTGGCGCAATCCCCGAGACGATGGAGGGAGCCAAAGGTGAGATCGTGGATGCGGCTCTCGATGCAAGCGAAGTGTCTGAGGACGTCGACCTCGCAAGCACGCTGGATCCGCTCAGAGATTCAGTCGCCAACGACAATGACGACGATACCATCGACGTCGGCAAAACCGGCAATACTATGAGAGATGCAACCGCAACTGATCCAGTCGCCAAGGCACATCAAGTTGCGGTAAATGCCTTTGGCCAGAGACTCCGAACACAAAAGCGGAAGACTGGGCAGAAGAGCCAGAACAACCAAATATGGCTGTGGTTGCCCATGAAATTCAGGCCAGTGCCGAAAAGGGGTGACTTTGACGTTAAGAGGCTGAAGGACAGCACGTACTTCTTTTCATGACTGTATTACATTCTGGAAACCAGTGGAAGAGGAGGCGCCTTTTTTGTGTGGTGCTGGTTGCACCCAAGATGACATTTATAACAGCAAGGAGTTTGGGGAGCCCAGGAGGGCTCATGAAAAAGCTCATACGTGATAAAAGGGGCGTTTGTCCCCTGTACACCATGGGGGTTCTGAACAGGCATCTTGGTGTAGGGACGCGTGGTGGAAAACGGACTGTACAGAGCAGATGTGAGCCATCTTCTATCTGCTCAAGTGTACAAATGTACATGTATTCGTGAGTGCGTATACATGTGTGTGTGTATGTCTATGTGTATATATATATACCAGCCCTCCCTATCAGATCTGGGAAGGGAAGTGAGATAGTACAAGGAAGATACTTTGATACTTTGTTATACACTGTAGGTTCCAGCTTCTAGGGCTTGGTCTACCTGGTCTATGGCATGGTATGGCATGTTCGAGCGAGGACCGAAAGGGACATTTCATTGCTACCTACCTACCTACCTACCTACCTACCTACCTACCTACCTACCTACCTACCTACCTACCTACCTACCTCAGGTATCTACCTCGTACTGAGCATTACAAAAACGTATATATATATACGAGGTGGTGGAGGTACATTATTGATGTTGTATGTATACCTACCGGGTAGGCATACGGGTATACGTATATACTGTATTGTTTCCGGCTCACCCACCCACTGCACGATTGATTGCTCGTCATGTCATGCCATGTCATGTCATGTCGTTGACCAAGGACGTCACAAGTGCATGCATGCATGCCTGAGTATATACTCTGCTACTTGTAGGTGGGTGCCCAAGTATTATTACCCGACGTGCCGCGATTAAAGGGGGAAAAAGGAGAATACAGGATTAATTGAATGATGTCGATGCAACAGGACGGGTTTACTTCGTTTGTACTTGTACTTGTTCTCCCAGAACGGTCTCGGTTTCTTGCCTCATTGTTTTTCTCATTTTGCTTTTGCTCGAGACTCTCTGGTGCTCCAGACTCCTCCTGAGTAGTCAGTGAGTCAGTCGGTCAGCCAGCCAGCCAGCCAATCCGCTCGGCTCAGCTCAGAAAGAGTCGGCGCACTCAAAACTCTCGGCCTCGCTCGTGTCGCCGTGGCCCTTGTACCGCGCCACAAGGGGATACTGGCACAGCGGCCTGCGGATCTTGTCCCCGCGGGGCCGGGTGAAGCTCTCGCCGTGGAGTATCTCCGGGGGAACACCCTGTTCGACCCACGTCCTCAGCTGGCCTAGCGCGTTGACGGGAAGGGCACCCTCGCCGCCGCCGCAGTGCTGGACACCGGGGGCGAGGAATAGACGGTAAAAGTCCCTCACGTCGTCGTCGTCTTCGTTGTCACTGGTGGTGTCTGACTGAGACGTCTGCGTGTACTGCCGCCGCCGCTGCCGCCGCCGCTGCTCTCGCTGCAGTACTTCTTCATAGTACTGCTCTGTCTGGCCTGGCATGATGGCCTCATCGCTCGTCCCGTGCCAGGTAATCATCTTTCCTCCGCGCCCACGAAAGGCGCTCAGGTCCGGGTTACTCGTCGAGATGAACGAGTGGTATTCCTCCTCGGACTGGTCGAAGAGGCGGACAAGTTCGGAGAGTGTGATCCGTTCGGCGAGCTCGGCGGTGGTGAGGCTGGGGTCCTTGTAGAGGAAGAGCCGGACCCAATCGAGCACCAAGGAGCTCGGGTTTGAGACGCAGCTGTTATTTCCCTGGAAACACGTCGTGGACGCAAAGGATGTCAACGGCGTCGAGTGCGTCAGGCGATGCCAGTCGGGTTCTCTGACCGAGCCTGGTGCAGCGCCCCAGAGATGCCACGCGATATGCGGCGCGGCGTAGCCAATCTTGATGATTGTGTGATTTGATCGCTGCTGCTGGCGTTGCTCTCCCTCTGCACCTCCTTCGTCGTCTGCGTAGACCATCTCACAGTCGATTTCTCTCCCTACCAGCTTGAACGGGTCAAATTCGCACGCTTCTTCGTTTGAGATGACACCGTCCTTGACACCATCTAACTCGTCGCACTCCTCTATCGCGGCTCTCGTGATGGCCTCCAGCTCACACGCCGGAGGATACTCACTGAGCGAATTCATCATCATGTGCGCGAAGTAGTGCATCACGATCAGCTTGGGCCAGTATATTGCCGGGGCGGCCGCCAATATGCCGTCGTAATCTTGAGGATAACGTTGAGCCAGCATCAGACCTTGTCTGCCGCCTGTGGAACAACCCTGAAAGTAGCTATACTTTGGTGCCAGGCCATAAAAGGAGGTGACAATAGATTTTGAGATGGTGGCCATGTCGTGCAGGCATACAGAGGCGAAATCCCGGAAGAGATACAAGTTGACGTTTCCCTCGGAGAGCATAGCCCACGTTTCGGTGTCAGGCGGCTCAGGCGGCTCAAGAAGTTGGGGTGCATGACCGCCGTCGGTGCGCGATATCGCATAGCCTTGCGATAGGGCCGAATGAGAGATGAACCCTGGAAGACACATGGAGAAGCCACCGCCGCCTTGGGACAGGAGTCTCCCATTCCAAACCGGTGATGTTCCATTGCTGCTCTCCCCATGATAATGTGGTCGGGTGTCTCTGGAACTTGTATAGACCTCATCCGAGACCGAAAGGGGCAGCCATATGTGCACGTTGATAGTGTCATTTTGACCTGGGTGTGTGTACGTCACGGTGACATTGCAGAAGTCTAGGTTGGTGTCTTCGCCGTAGAATGGGGGGTCTGCGTTGAAGAAGTTTGGTGGTTGCCAGTACTGGGCAGTATAGTTGCTTACCAGCGAAGAGGTTACCTTGAGTATCTCTCCGCCGAATAGTGTCGGTTTGGGTAAGCTCGAGGAGAGACATGCGGCTGTCAGGTTCGCATGTCCCGAGCCAGGGGAGGAGAAGGACAGAGGAGCTTGGGATGTGAGCCAGTTCATAGTGAGGATGGATCTACCCGCCGGTGCTAACAAGACCTGTGAGAGAGTCGACAAGGCTCCAATGACGGAGGTTGACAAATGGCTGATCAAGTGGCAACTCTTGCAAGAGAACTAAGAAGATGAAGAATGTTGTGTGCCTCATATAGGCAGATGCTTACCTCTGGTCAATGCGAGACTTGAGGTTGGTTGAATTGCTGGAGGGTGTTTCAGAGAGCTTCTGAGGAGATGGACTGTGTCCGTTACCCACAAACGAGGGTATTCGCAAGGCCTCCCAGAAAGTCTGACAGCTTATGTCACGTAGAGAGGAATACACAGAACAACCGGCAAGAGGGTCGAAGAGGTGGAGGTGGTGGAGGTGGTGAGGCAGTCGATGCAGTTGGTGCCTGTATGAGGAGAATCCGGATCATTGTATTTCCGGGAGCCGCATTATTTATCCTGGACGCAGCAACATCAGCGCCTCGTATATAACAAACAACCTCGAACTTGGCCACACTGGCTCTGTCATACTCGTCCTCGGCATCACTACTTCCATGCTCCTTCTATTATCTCTGAATCTGACGGCTACCGGCCTCTGTTGACACAGGAGTCAAAAGAATCACAATGAGCTCTCCGCCCCTCCTCCGCCCAGCGATACTTGTCGTCTCCGACACTGCGGCAGCCGATCCGTCCACCGACAAATCCATTCCCATCCTCAAGGACGTCTTCTCACAAGACGGCAACGGAAAATGGGACGAGCCACTCTTTGAGATCGTCAAGGACGATGTGCTGGAGATCCAGCGGGTTGTCCGCGGGTGGACGGATTCCGAGACTGAAACCACCAACGGCGGCGGCGTGGTCAACTTGGTGGTGACGACGGGGGGAACAGGCTTTGCACGGCGAGACTTTACCCCTGAGGCTGTTGAGCCTCTGATCCACCGTCACGCGCCTGGTATTGTTCACGGCATGCTTTCTGCTTCTTTCCAGATTACGCCCTTCGCCATGATGTCGCGGCCTGTGGCTGGTGTGAGGAATAAATCCATCATCATCACCTTGCCCGGGTCGCCCAAGGGTGCCAAGGAGAACCTCCAAGCTGTGTTGAAGCTGTTACCACATGCGTGCTCGCAAGCCGCGGGCCAGGATTCGAGGACAGCCCATGTAGGAGGAGTCAAGAAACTGGAAAAGGAAGCTGGAGTTGGCCCGTCAACTTCCGGTGGTGCTACAGCCGGCGGACACGATCATGATCACTCCCATCAACATGATCACCGTCATAGCCACGACCACGATCACAGCCATGGCGGCGGTGGTGGTGGTGGCCATGGTGGGCACAGAATCCCCAAAGCACACACCAGTCCCTCTGAGAGACCTCAACTACAATCCAACGACCCCAGACTTGGTGCCACCGCACGGCATCGGTCATCCCCTTATCCAATGCTGGACGTATCAGACGCCGTGTCGATCATCTGTGAACACTCCCCGTCTCCCACAGTCGAATTGAGGGACGTCTCACCTGACCTGGTAGGCTACGTGGCCGCCGAAGACATCAAGGCGGCAGAGGCTGTCCCTGCCTACCGCGCGAGTATAGTGGATGGATACGCTGTCATCGTCCCCGACAAGACCGCCTCGCAAAGTATCAAGGGCGTCTTCCCCATCGCCTCTGTATCACATGCCCAAGCCTCGTCCTTACCGCCACCTCTCCAGAAAGGCCAGATAGCGCGAATCACCACCGGCGCACCGCTGCCAGAAAATGCCAACGCAGTGGTCATGGTGGAGGACACCGTCATCGCCGCCCTCACACCGGACGGGAAGGAAGAAGCCACCGTGGAAATCCTCACGGACGAGCTCGTGGAAGGTGAAAACATTCGCGAACCAGGAAGCGACATCGAACTGGGCCAGGTGATTGTGGCCAAGGGGACGCCGATCAGCGCATTGGGCGGCGAGATCGGGGTGCTCGCGGCAGCCGGCATTAGGCAAATCCCCGTCTACCGCAAACCCCGGGTCGGGGTCATGTCGACCGGCGACGAAGTCATGGACGTGACGTACCAAGGCGCCCTGAGCGGCGGCATGATCCGCGACTCGAACCGACCGTCCCTGCTG